CAAAAAACAAATAACTTAAGGCCGGTCCACATAGAACTTTGGCGTTGGCTTCGGCGTTGGCGTTGGTTTGACAGAACGCACGTTAAATGTATGCTTGCTACAATGAACGCTTGGCAGCGAATGCTTGGACCACTAAATTAAAATACTAACGACAGATAAATTAATATTTCATATCAATAATTACATTAAAAACGATATTTCTTGCCCGCACTTGATTAAAAAGGAAAAATATTTCACATAATTTTATTTATTTGCAACAGCTGACGAGCGACGCACGCGAAAAGTTGAGAGTTGGCCATCTTTTTGCTTTTTGTTGGCGTGAGCGTTGTCAAATTTTGGCTATGTGGACGGCTGCATTTGAATTCATGTATTCATAGTCAGCTGTTGAAGCGACGCCAACGCCAACGCAACGCCAAAATTCTATGTGGGCGGGCCTTTAAGGACGAGCACACCTAAAAGTTAAACATTCTAAAAATATAATTATTAACAAAAACCAACAAAACCAACAACCACATGATCAAGTTTGAATAGCAGCGGAATAGCTGCGCTTGATTGTATTGGCTTAGCAAATGAAAAAGTGGGAAAAAAGCAACGATAATTTACAAGGCGAACTTAGCAGGTGGTTAAGTTTTTATTTTCGTATCTATTTTCGTGTTTTTATTTAGTCACGGGTAGAACATCGTAGCGTCACATGTGTCGCTACTCTCTTGAGCGCTGACCCTATGCGACCACTAACGTAAAGTTTATGGCGGAGGTAAGTTTCTAATTCTGTTTTTAAGTTTGAAGTCAAAATTATGTTTTTGTTTTTTTACGTTAATGATAATAGAGTACTTTAATATTTTTGATAATACACAATTCGTTTTTTTATTTGTTACAAATACTTTTGTCCACACTTTTATTGGGGTCACTCGGGACCCCATGCGATTATTTGTGTGATTTTCTGAATGCGCCTAATTCCGGGTTAAGTTGGGTCGCCCGCGGCCACACCTCTACAGTGGAGGGAGTAGTCCACAGTGGTTGTAGTACTACTGCCAGACACGGCTTGCCAGCAACTGTGCCATAGTCCTAGAATACTCGGACCAGGAAAGCGCGGTCAGCCTGGCCAAGTCACTGTTAAATGGGGGTGACCAGCACTACATCCTCAAGATAAATAAGACTGCCTATATGCTCGAACCGGCTAATAGAGGTGAACAAGCGACATATATTGGACCCACGTCCAGTTTCTTGACCTAACTCTCTTCACGATTAGTCGTACGAACGTTGATAACTGGAGGGTGCTGCAGGCACCGTCGTGGTTCGGATCGCAAATCTAGCTGGAAGAAACTATTTAAACAAAAATTCTTTGATGGATTGTTACACCGCTTCTTATCCAGGGGATTTTTGGGTTGATGATTACGAAGCTGTTAAGAGTTTGTCGATTCGAAGAATAAATACTAAGCCGCAGACTATATCTGATTTAGATTTATTGAAAAGATTCTCGCTAGTACAAAGTAAACATAATGTCTACAGCTAGGTTAGCTGCGATAGTATATGTTTCTTACGTCAGATGAAATCAGGGATGGTAAACCCAACCGAGCAGGGTCGCATTTTCTCGGACTTCGAACATTCCGCCCAACTTGAGCGTGGACTGAGTGGTTCCTTCCTGTAAATCCATTGGGTCCATCTTGATGGGTAGAACCGAGATCTTTGATAGAGGTCCTTTAATAAGACTGGTTTGCGTCCTTATAGTAACCACACGAACTACTCCGTCTTCTCCTGCGTGAGTATCGGTTATACGACCAAGAATCCAGCACTTCGGTGGCAACCGTTCGTCTCGTACTAAAACGAGTTGGCCGCAAACGATATTTGGTTGTTGCGTGCGCCATTTATTTCTACTGGAGTGTGGCTTGGGTGCCACCATGAAGAGTGCGCTGATGAGCTTGTCTAATGACCAACATGGTGAGATGATTATCCTTTGGTAGAATGACAGGGTGTCGCTCTGAGACTGGAAGATTTGCGTTCGTCAAGCGACCGCCGACGCACAACAATCCATTTTTGTCTAACATGGGATTTAGCTTCAACAGTTTGCTCCTCTTGTTGACTGCTTTATGTAGTATCATTGAGAGCTGCGATGTCGCTCTTGAACGTGATAGCTTGTACGCGCTTGATCCAAAATTTCATGGCAGCCTCGCGCTCGCTCCACAAACACATCATTCCAGTCTCATGGGCCATACCTCGCGAGGCCCGTATCACTCGGAAACACCAAGCAGTGATTACTAACAGTCTTTCAAGCGTCGAATAGTTTTCCAGGATTAACCAATCAGACGGAATGTACGTGCCGTTGTAGCTTGCACAGGTTTGGATTCGGAGAGCTTTTCTGGTGCCTTTAGCAAAGGCTGTGGCCAACTGGCTTCTGGTTGGCTAAGGCAGGAGGGCCCATGCCACCATAGGTGATGATCTACAAGCTGTGCCATGGTCAGTCCTCGTGAGGCACAATCAGCAGGATTGTCGGCCGTGTTAATATAACGCCAGTCGCTTACAGTAGTCGCCTCTTGTATCTGGCTAACACGATTCGACACGAACCCTTTTAGCGCTCCTGAATCGGATCGTATCTACCATATTGTAGTCGTAGAGGCTGACCACATATAAGTAGATATAGAGGATAGGTTAAGCGTATCTCTTACCTTTTTCATCAGGCGAGCAACAAGTACGGCTGCACATAGCTCGATCCGTGGTACTGTAACTTTCTTTAACGGTGCCACTCGTGTTTTCGACATCAATAGGTGAATGTGGACGGATGATTAAGCGACAACGTTTAAGTACACTACAGCGGCGTATGCGTGCGTAGATGCATCTGCAAAGGTATGAAGCTCATAGGTTTCATTTTGCTGGGATATATTAAGCCAGCGTGATATGCGTACTTCTGGAACTGTCTTAAGCTCGTTGCGAAAAGATATCCATTTCGTCTGCAAGTCTTCCGGCAGATTTCCATTCCAATCTAGGTCTGTTAACCACAATTTTTGAATAAATATTTTCCACGAATAATTACAGGCGCCAAGAACCCAAGTGGGTCGAACAGCTTAGCCACGTCAGACAGCAGTTGGCGCTTTGTAAATGTGGTTACCGTGTAATCAAGCTTTAGTGCGTAGGTCAAACAATAGTCTTTGATAGCCCAGACGAGTCCTAAGGTATTGTACTCTCCCTCTAGCTGAAACTCCCTTGAAGATTTAGTTTGAATATCAACAGGATCAATGATTTTCAGCACAGCGCTTGAGTTGGAATTCCACTTTCGCAGGGTGAAGCCACCTGCGCGAAGAAGGCCTTTCAGTTCTCGACGTGGTCTGGAAGCATCCTCGAGACTGTCTGCCCCCGTTAGAACATCATCCACGTAGAACTCATCAAGCAAAATCTGAGCAGCGTCAGGAAAGTTGCAGCGTTCGTCAGCAGATAGAGTGTGCAATACTTTAATGGCCAGGTATGGCGCGCAGTTGGTACCATAAGTGACAGTTTTTAATCTGAAATGTGTTGGTTCTCGATGCGAATTAGGTCGCCAAACAATACGCTGCAAATCAGTATCTCTCTCGTCCACCAAGATCTGACGGTACATCTTGCCGATATCTCCAGTGAGCGCAATTCGGTATAGACGCCAATTTAGTACAACAGCAGTCAGGTCGTTCTGTAACTTAGGACCAGAGTATAAGCAATCATTACCACTGTTGCATCGTCTTGAGGCGTTGAAGACCACCCTTAATTTCGATGTGCTGCTGGATGTTTTCCAGACGCCGTGGTGGGAGAGATAACAGATGGGCGTTGAACACTCTTCTTCCCTAGTAATGCTCACCATATGTTGCAATGATGCGTACTCGTTGATAAATTCTTCGTACATATCTCGCATGACCGGATCTCGAGATAGACGTCGATGAAGATGATCGAGGAGAACAATCGCATCATGGTGCGTAGCGGCCAATTGCGTTAGATTAGAATCCGGTTTGACTGGTAGTCGCACAATATAACGACCGCCTGCAGCTCGACGCGTAGTGCAGTTGAAGTAATTCTGGACGAATCGATCATCTTGCGTTAGTGCGGGCGTTAAATTAAGCTCTTCCAACTCCCAAAAGCTGCGAAGTGTTCGGTCGAGATCGAGTTGAGTGTGATAGCAGTCAATCACATCCCGTGGCGTCACGAGAGATTGATTAGTAGAACTGCCGAAAATCACCCAACCTAACAGTGTACAGTGGAGGATGGTTCCGTGCGCAGAAGTGGAAAACTTTTGACTGCCATTCACCTGGGAGTGGCCAGAAGCGATTCTTGTGCGTACGGTTCAAATCGCAGCTCACAACGTCCGGATATTTATATCCACGTATCCTCTGGGTAGCAACCAAACACCCGTTTGGGAGCGAGCTAAAGTGAGAAGGCGTAAAACTTCGCGTGCGCTGGGTTTGGGTCCCGCCACGTTAAAACTCCGCCCAATGAAAAATTCCAACAAGCCTCGGATGAGACCCCCTTTTTCTGATGACGACCACGGCAAACGTATAAAGGACTATGATTTAAGGGTATGCACCTGGAATATCCGGACCCTTAATGGGGAAGGTGCCTCTGCCCGGCTGGTTGATGTCCTCGGGAAGACAAAGGCTGACATCACCGCCATCCAAGAAATGCGATGGACGGGGCAAGGTAAAGTAAGCGTGAAGCCTTGCGACGTCTACTACAGTTGCCACGTAAAGGAGCGCAAATTCGGTGTTGGATTCGTGGTAGGAGATAGACTCCGTCGCCGAGTACTGGCGTTCACCCCGGTGGACGAACGTCTAGCCACAATCCGCATCAAAGCTAGATTCTTCAACATCTCGCTCATCTGCGCCCATGCCCCGACGGAAGAGAAGGATGAGGCGTCCAAGGATCTCTTCTATGAGCGCTTGGAACGTACATATGAGCGCTGCCCCCGACACGATGTCAAAATCGTGCTTGGCGATTTTAATGCCAAGGTGGGCAAGGAAGGGATCTTTGGCGCCACTGTCGGAAAATTCAGCCTCCACGACGAAACGTCCGATAACGGACTGAGGCTGATCGACTTCGCCGGGGCCCGAAATATGGTAATATGTAGTACTAGGTTCCAGCATAAGAACATCCACCAAGCTACATGGCTGTCTCCGGATCGAAAAACGAGAAACCAAATCGATCATGTTGTGATAGACGGAAGGCATGCTTCAAGCGTTTTGGACGTACGTACACTCCGAGGGCCAAACATCGACTCGGACCACTATCTCGTTGTAGCCAAGATACGCACCCGCCTCTGTGCAGCAAAAAATGTGCGGCCAACAATGCAAGGAAAGCTTAACGTCGAAAAGCTGCAATCACAACAGACGGCCAATCTATTCGCCACTCGACTCACACACCTGCTCTCTGAGAGCACTCTTCAACAATAGCAGCAGTGGAACCACATTTCCCGATCATTAAGTACCGCCGCCGAAGAAGTAGTTGGATTTCAGCGAGCCCGAAAGAACAACTGGTACGGTGAGGGATGTCAAGAAGCCGCAGAGAAAAAAGATGCCGCCTACAGGGCCACGCTGCGATCGGGCGCAACGCGAGCCATGTGGGACCGTTATAGGGAACTGAAGAAGGAAGCGAGACGTATTTGCCGCAATAAGAAGAGAGAGGCCGAAATACGTGAGTGCGAAGAGCTTGAGATGCTGGCCGACAGGAAGAATGCCCGAAAATTCTACCAGAGGGTTAGGCGACTTACGGAAGGTTTCAAGACCGGGGCGAACTCCTGTAAGAACAACAATGGCGACCTAGTGACCGATGTCCAGAATATACTTAAATTGTGGAGGGAACACTTTTATAACCTACTGAATGGTAGCAGCGCTGAA